CCCAAGCCCAGCTTCCTGGCGCTGCTTATGATGGAGGTGGACCAGTTTGCGCTCACAGCCCTCACCCTGGACATGCTGGCTGCTGAGGACCTGGAGACCCCCGTGGACCTCTTGATCTTCAACCTCACTTCTCTCTGGCCCAGTGACCCGCGGCAGCAAGGCTTCCTGCTCAGCACCGATGACCCCAGTCGCCCCCTCGTTGCCTTCTCGCAGCAGGAGGTGAGAGAGCTGAAGATTGCCTACCAGCCCCCTACCCTGGACTCGGACCAGGAGCGGCTTTTCCAGGTGGAAATGGAAGTGCTGGACCCTGACGGCGCCTCCTCAGAGCCTTTTGCTTTCATGATTCTGGTAAAGCCCATGAACACATTGGCCCCGGTGGCCACTTTCAATCGTGTGGCGGGCCCACAGCTGATGCTCTTTGAGGGCCAGTCACGGCCCCTGTCTGGCAACTTGGAGATCAGTGATGAGGACAATCTGAAAGAGGTGAAGGTCTGGGTCACACGGGGCTTGCGATACGGGAAGCTCAAGGTACTTGGTGTACCGCCCAGCTGCAAGTACTTCACTGCTGCAGAGTTAGCAGCAGGGCAGGTGGTTTACCAGCACGATGGCAGTGAGCACAGCTACAGTGACAACATCGTTTTCCGCATGGCAGATGGGCAGCACCAGGTCGAATTTCTGTACCCCATCACCATTGCTCCTGATGATGATCAGCCACCGCTGCTGAATGCAAATATGGGGCTGGTGCTGAGTGAGCACCAGACTGTCCAAATCTCACCTTTTGTCCTCAGTGCCACAGACATTGACTCTGATGACACCTCTATCCGATTTGTCCTGGTTGGGGACTCTGCAGTGTCCCTACTACACTCCCATCACTTTGGTGAGCTGCTGCTGCGTCAGGCAGAGCAACCAGCATCTTACAAGAGCAAAGAAAGCGGAGCAGGGTTGGAGAGTGACTCCTCTTCCTTCCCCTGGCACTTTGTGGAGGATGAACATGTGTATGAGAGGGTGGTGAACGAGTGGCTGCAGCAGGACATCCTCGATGGGAGGCTGTTCTTCAGGCACACGGGAGCTCACAGCGCCAGCCCAGTGATGGGCCGCATTGTGTTCCAGCTGCAGGATGACAACGACCCCCCTAACCGGTCAGGGGAGCATGTGCTGACTGTCAAAGTCCAACCGGTAGACAGCCTGCCACCTGCACTGTACCCAGGTACTAGCCTGCAGATGACAGTGCAGGAATACCAACTGACTGTCTTTGAGAAGCACTATTTACGGTACACTGACCTGGATACGGATGACAGGGAGCTGAAGTACACTTTACTGACACCCCCAACAGACACAGATGAGAACCGTGCTGTGGTCACTGGAGAGATTGTCTTGGCTGACAGTCCCGAGACATCCATTACACGTTTCACCCAAGCCCAGGTCAACCACCACAAGGTAGCATATCGACCCCCGGATCAGGAGCTGGGGATCACACCACGGGTGGTTCAGTTCACATTCCTTGTAGAGGACTCAGCTGGCAATTCTTTACAAGGTACCTTTACTCTCTTCCTGCAGCCAGTGGACAACCAGCCACCTCAGATCACCAATACAGGCTTCACTGTGCTTGAGGGAAACAGTTTTCTTGTCACAAGTAATCAACTGGATGCTACAGATGAGGACACGTCTGCAGACCAGATTGTCTTCACTGTAACTCAAGCTCCGGAGCATGGCCATCTACGTTATCTGGAGGAGGGTCTGATGGTGCAAGGGGAATCTTTCCTGCTAGATGATATTGCTGGTGGGCGCGTCTCCTACAAGCACAGCGGCGATGAGTTTGCCAGTGATTCTTACCAGTTGGAAGTGAGTGATGGAGTCCATCATGTGCCAATCACAGTCAAGATTGCTGTGCAGCCTGTGGATGATGAAAACCCAAGTATCGCTCTCCCTGGTGGTCAGAGGCAGGTGGGAGCAGCCATTGATGTCCTGGAAAATGGTGCTACTCAAATTACTACGTCACTTATCCAGGGTACCGATGAGGATACAGATGGCTTGGTGCTGACCTTCATTGTGCAGGATCCACCCAAGCTGGGTGACATCCTTGTGGATGGAGTGCAATCAGAAAAGTTTACCCAGCATGACCTCATCAGTGGAGCAGTAGCCTACGCTCACACCAGCGGAGAGATTGGCTTGAAAAAGGGGTATGATTCCTTCAATCTCACCATTTCTGACCTCTCCAGTGAACGGGTGGTGGGAGGCAGCACAGTACAAAGGGTGTGTGTGGCTGTAACTATATTGCCTGTGGACAGCGTTGCACCTGAAGTGATGGTTGTGGCAGAGCCACTCAGTGTCCTGGAGGGAGGGAAGAGTACTTTAACTCTGGATCAGCTGGATGTGGAGGACGTAGATACTCCCAGAGATGACATCTTGTGCATTGTCACAGTTCAGTCCACTTCAGGATATTTGGAAAATGTCTCTCCAGCCCCAGGGTCCGAGAAGTCTAGAGCTGGTACTGCCATTAGTGCTTTTTCCATCAAAGATGTTCGTCTGGGCCATGTCAACTATGTGCAGAGCATTCACAAAGGGGTGGAGCCTGTGGAGGATAGATTCACTTTCCGGTGCTCTGATGGTGTTAACTTCTCACCTCACCACTTCTTCCCCATTGTCATCATCCCCACCAACGATGAAAAGCCGGAGCTGTTTGTGCGTGAATTCATGGTGCTCGAGGGGATGAGCCTGGTGATTGACACCCCCATCCTCAATGGAGCCGATGCAGACATGCCTCGAGATGAACTGCGTTTTGTTATTGCTGTCCCTCCTAAGCATGGGCAGATTGTGCAGCAGCTGTCCACAGGCACTGTGCCTATTCACAGCTTCACCCTGGAGGAGATCCAGGAGGCTTCCAGCATTGTGTATGAACATGATGACTCAGAGACGAAAGAAGATAGCTTCCAAATTCAGCTGACTGATGGACACCACACAGTGGAGCAGAACGTACCGATTATGGTGATCCTGGTAGATGATGAGACCCCCAGGATGGCAATCAACAATGGTCTGGAAGTAGAGATTGGCAAGTCAAAGGTCATCTCTAGTCAAGACCTTAAAGCCACAGACATCGATTCAGAGGACAAGAGCCTTGTTTATGTCATCCGTTTGGCACCTGTGCAGGGTTTCTTACAGCATCTGAACAGACAAGAGGAGGTGCTGTGCAACATTACACAAGGCACAAACTTCACACAAGATGATTTAGACCAGGGTTTTATCCGCTATGTTCATACTGGCCTACATGGAGTGCGTGATCTGATTAAATTTGATGTTACTGATGGTATTAATGCCTTGATAGACAGATACTTCTATATTACCATTGGTGGCACTGATATGATCTTCCCTGAGGTGATCAACAAGGGTGTGACTCTGAAAGAAGGTGGAAAGGTGACACTCACAACTGATCTGCTCAGCACAAGTGATGTTAACAGTCCTGATGAAAATTTGTGTTTCAGTGTCACCCAGTCCCCGACCCGGGGCCGTCTAGAGAATTCAGACAGTCCTGGAGTACCCGTTGTTTCCTTTACTCAACTCCAACTTGCTGGCAACAAGATTTACTACATTCACACTGCAGACGATGAGGTAAAGATGGACAGTTTTGAGTTTGAAGTGACAGATGGGTATAACCCGGTCTTCCGTACCTTCAGGATCTCCATCACAGATGTGGACGATAAAAAGCCAGTTCTAACTATTGGTGACCTGGTTGTTGAGGAAGGGAAGACTAGGCTGATCACCCCTTTTGAGCTGACCGTGGAAGATGGGGATACGCCTGACCATTTACTCCTATTCACGGTCACTCAGGTTCCAGTGCATGGCCAGATTTTGTACAACAGCAGCTACCCAGTCACCAGCTTCACCAAACAAGACTTGAATGAGAATCTTATCAGCTACAGACACGATGGTACAGAAACCGGCCAGGATAGTTTCTCCTTCTCTGTGACTGATGGGACCCACACAAACTTTTATGTTTTCCCTGACACTAGCAAGGAGATCCATCAACCTCAGATGATGAGGATTCAGATCAGTTCACTGGACAACAGAGTGCCACAGTTAGTGGTGAACAAGGGTGCCCCTACTCTGAGAAGACTTCCAGCTGGGCACCTAGGCTTCCTGATCACTAGTAAGGTGCTAAAGGCAGAGGATCGAGACAGTCCACACAAGCTGTTGAAATACAAAATAACAGATGGGCCGGAGCATGGCTTCATCATTAATACTGGCCTTGGAAATGAGAGCATTAGAACATTTATGCAAGGTTGGTGCTGTGGTTGTATTTGCTTATAAACATTGGGCTCAATGAGCTGTTATTTTGTGTTAATAGTAGTTGAGTCTTTGTTTCAGGGGATTTAGAAAGTAATGTCTTTTAAACTACGACGTATATGCAAACGATCAGAATTATAATACATGCATTTTAGAAACGAAGCTTTGTTTTACCTATGAAGACACAATAGAAGAGCTCTGCGTTGTATGTGCATGCATTAATGTGTATCCTACTGTGGGTTAAATGTACATCTTACCGTGTACATATCATGGTACTGCTCCTGACAAGATGGAACAGAATCTGAAATGGTGATTTGCAGATCTCACACCAGTTTCCTTTTGAAGACTGAAGTACCTGTTTGTCTGCCTGGAAATTAAACCCAGGCTCAAAAATCACTATTGTCTTCAGCGAAAATTGTTTGGAAAGGTGCTTAGCATTTCTGCACATCACTGGATCTAGTATTTAAAAAAAAAAAAAAGGGCAGGGGACACCCAGTATAGCCTCAGTAGTTATATTTTGTGTGATTCTGTTCCCCAGAGAAAGCTCAGTAGGTAGGGAGGCCTCCTTTAGGTCAGCTCCACCAAACCTGTGCAGAGGGAAGAGCCTCTGAGGATGGTGAGGCACAGTGACAGCAACCAGACTCTGTATAAATGTCCCTGTGCTCCAGCTGATCTTCGGGAGTTTGCTGGGTTTAGGACTGTCATTCATCTGTCCTGTATAGAATAGTATGTTGAAAGCTTTCACAAAGAAACTTCCAGCCTAGACTTTGCCTACCTCCAGTGTGCTTTGACTATCAGCAGGAGGGACAACGTTTACCAAAATTCTCATTAGACACTATAATAGGATTAGAGGTCTCCATTATTTTTATGTGCTCAGGTATGTTACCTTTCTTTTGCAAGAGAACACAGTCTGGGGAGAGAAAAAGTCTTCACCTCCATTTTATGTATTTATCTATAACTTCCAGACAGGTTGCAGCTTTAAGATTATGATAACACAATTTATTTTTAAAAGTCTGCGGTTCATCTGCCAAGCTACAGTGTTGTGAAAAATCATTTGCCATTCATTTAGGAATGTTTCATACATTTTCAGTTGACAGAAAGCACCCAAATCTGCCATGCCAGAAAAAGAGCAACTGGTAACCCCAGGGGAGTAAGTCTCTTAGTAGATCGGAATTAGCTCTAGAACGCCTTAATGCTGAATGGAGTATAAAGAACATTTAGGTATATCCCAAACATTTTTGTATCAAATGAAATTGTTGTTTATTTAACTAAAATAAAAGCAAAAGTAGAAGACTTCTGTGAAGTCTTTATATTGATGAAATGTGGCATAGGATAATACACCTGCAACTTTAGGGTAATAGAAATATCCTGATGTTTTTCCCCTATTCTCTGGGAATATAAAATCAAAATTTTATTGACTTTTAGACCTGTTTGTGATTTCTTTAATACATTCTCATATTCACTCCCAATGTACCTGCAACAGTTTTGTGTGTCACAGAAGAGCTTAAAAAACTGATTAAATTTAAATTGATCTTTAAAAAATGGGCAGATCTTTACTCCCAATAGATTCAATTTAGTTACAGCAAAGTAATTCTTCCTAATGTGCTGAAACAAGGATGTGACTTTAGTATTTAAAAATAAATATTTATGGTAAAACTATATCTCACTGTCTTTTTGCCATTGTTCTTTGAGCTAATAACTAAATTTATGTTGTGTTGCTGAGTATAGACCAGTGTAAGAAGCCATGCCACGTTATACAAGTTTGGTTGCTGAAATGCTTTATCCACAAATTGGCCAACTTACTAGTAAGTAATCAAATAGTAAAGGTAGAATGAACTATGTCCTATATTCTGTAGTAAAATTCTATGATGATTCATTTAGCATATTCTTTTCTTAGCCGATATTGATGAAATGAAGATCAGCTACATCCTGAAGGAAGGTGATAATGCTACCAGTGACATCTTCTATTTCTCCATTGAAGACAATGGTAAGATTAAGATGCTTAATTATACATAGCTTAGAATTACACCATCTGGAAGATTGTTAAAAAACATTAAATAAACAAGTAATCTATTATTTCTTTATAAGTAGTATGTAAAAGTGCCATGAGCACATAGGAACACAAATCAAGATATTTTACTCATTTTAATGTATAATGTCACAATTAATGCAAACTGCTATGGCAAGCTATGAACCCTTAGTGGCATGTACTGTTGTCACAGTACTGTGTGTTCAGTGGCCTTTATGGGGACAGTTGGCAGTGACAGTCAATCCCCCATGGTCAGCTGTGCCAGGTGGGGCATTGATGGTTTTGGAATCACGGCCAACTATTGAATCAAAAGAGAAAATTAATGCCAACCTTTGTTAAATAAGGAGAGTTCAGTTGTTCTAGATCATGGCTGAGAACCTGGCGAAATGGTAAGATAGGCTGGTTAAGTCCATTTTGCTCTTATTTATACAGAAACACATCCTTTTTTTGCATAGATTGTTATTGTTTCAAAGGTTTCAGTGGACCAGTGGTTATTTGTATCAACTGATATGTGTATGTTGCATTTTTTTGCATATTCCTTTGATGACTCTTATTTTAAAATCTGTTTTGTTCTGTTTGTGTATTGTTTTTTTCCCTTAGGCTGCAATATTTTTCCTCAATCATCTGCATGAATTGGGTTCACTGAGAATTCATCAAAATTTTACACAATTTCCTCTTAATTAAAGGCAGACAGGAAGATTCGTACAATAAGCATGCAATTCAGTTAAATAACTTCTGTGTAAGGATCTGCCTTCACAATAATCTCTGTAAACTTCCTGACTAGTTTGATGTAATCCTGAGTACATAGAACATGTCAGAATAGCATTCAAACACAGCATTTGACAGAAAGTTAAATTGGTGAGCATTTCCTAACAGGCCTCAAAACAAATCTGAAACACCATTAAAATATTTTGTCCAAAATTGGCAGACTGATAAAGAGCAGTCTGCATTGATAGTTATGAGGATAGTCACTGAAAAGCAATAGCTTCTTTGGGTTTGCTAAGGTTTCCTACTCGAACTATTGCAAACCAGAAAATGTGTATCTTGATCTCTTGAAAACCAGTTATTACATTCTATCTATAATCAGTTTGTTTCTGTTCTTGTAGCAGTATAAATCATTGTAGTTTTCTGTCCACCATTTGCTATAAAGCAATCCAGCCACAGATAAGTATGTGCCTGAGAACTGAGCATTCCGTTATGGATTAAGAACTATCTCGCACTTTGGTTAGCTGAGACATTTTGATTAGCTGAGATGAACCCGTTCATTTTATGACTTGAAGATGAACGTGAGCACCTTGGATATGACTTCCAATGTTTTCTTCATCCCATCTGTAGGACACCGCTTACTGTTTTCGGGCAGTGCACTGAGGGTATCAGTTAGCAAAACAATGAAATGTGGCTTGTTTATTTTCAGTTGTCCAAGAAGTAATTGAACATTTGGAACCAGTCATTTGGTATTGTCACTTTGCTCATAAATGAAAGATTATGTAGCTTAAGGGACATTAAAAACATTTTCAATATGAGATCAACCACACCTCTGGTTCATTGTGATCCTGTCAGGGACAAGTTTCTCATGTTTACAAATGAAGATGGAATAGTAGGCAGTTGGGAATATGCACAGTATTCATAGCTTGAAGGAAATTATTTCCTTTCTGGTTAAGGTTTGGGTAAGCAAATCATTTAATTCAGCTGTTGTTACATGGGGCTTCAGGAAACTGGAAGACCTGTTTCATAAGCAAAGAATGCACCAATCCATTCCCCATGGCTGGCACTTTGTATCCTTGGCAACTTTACAGCTGGAAAGATCTTCTCTTTTAGGAGCCAGTAGAGTAATTGGGAGACAAAGCTATGACAGGCCGAAAATGGCTTTTGGTTTGTGCTTCCTCTGGTTATGCTGAAAGAAAAAGGTTGAACATTGGCCGGCTACGGGGGATGGAAAAAACAAGTTAGATCTCACAAGCCAATTATTTTCTAGCTCTTTTTGAAGTAGCGTGCAACCGATGCAATTAAAATCAAATGGGGCTATTAATTTAAGAAAGATTGGAGATGCATTCTTTTTTTGCTTACGTTTCACTTAGCACACAGGAGAAGGTGCTGTGAACTGCTGTCTGTGTTTCTTACAGACATCTTATTTTGCCGTCATTTGATCAATATAAAAGTCTTTGTGGCGTGACTAAGTGGGGTAATATAATAATGATGAGAAACAATGGGGAAAAAGGAATGACATGACTGGACAGATGGCAATTCTTATTCCACCCAGGGATACAAAGGGAGTCAGTTACTAGGTGTTTTCATTAACAGCACTTTCAGTCTGTGCTAAATGGAGTGATTCTTTCTGTTCAAGATATCAACAGAATAAGAAAAGCTGTGGCAATAAGTATGTGCAGCTATGCTTATAACGAAAGTATGTACTGACTGAAGGGTGGTTTGTATGCTGATGTGACTGGCCCAACTACAGGAAGAGTACTCGGCTCCAGGAAGGTGTGCTGAGCAAGTAACATCTGGAAATTCATTTAAAACTTGTTTGGTGTGGGAAAGAAGGTTGAAAAGTCAATGCTGTCATTACTACTATAGCACAAGGAAATGCTTTTAAAAGAAATTCTATCTGGATTAGTCTTTTGATGGCTTTGGTGCTTAGAAATACATTAAACATATTCTCTCAGGGGCATTTACCTCCCAGGGGAGTGCCTGAAAGAAGGCACAACTGTAATAGCTGTTGTACAACTCAGGAAAAAATACCTAAAGGCCCAGCAGGAGGAGAGAATGTACACTCCTTTAGTACAGTTTGCAACTGCTTCAGCAAAACTCAAGAAAGAGCCTGCTATTTTCTATGTTTTTATGTTCTGGCTTCTAAAATCCTCTTAAAAGCATTTGATTTTGCATCAGTACAAAGGAAACTGAGCCGCGAAGCATGTGTACCGAATGCGAGGAGAAAATGCATGCGTTTTTCTCTGTCTGGTCACTTCCCTTGCGCAAACACAATCAGGCTGAACGGGGAGCTCTTGCTGGGACTC